CTACTCCCTATCGTCCCCAGTCAGATGGACTTGTTGAACGGTTTAATCGGACACTTCAACAAATGTTATCCATCTATGTCCACCAGGAACCTTTAGACTGGGATGATCACCTCCCGTATTTACTTATGGCATACAGGGCTACAGAACATAAGAGTACACATTGCTCCCCGAATCTGATGATGTTAGGTAGAGAAGTCAGTGTACCCATTGATCTCATGGCTGGTGATCCGCCTCTATCTCTTGCTAGGGTTTGCCCAGTAGAATATGTAGAGTGGCTTAAGGAGACTTTCCAGAGAATTTTTGAATTCGCCAATAGTCAGTTAGGCCTTGCTGCTAACACTCAGAAGAGAAATTATGATAAAAATCTGAAGGCTAGGTCTTTTGAAGTAGGAACAATTGCTTGGCGATGGTATCCTCCAAAAGCAAATCAGAAGTTGGGGCTAGGCTGGGATGGGCCACATATGGTGAGAGATAAACTTTCGGAATGGACATACTCCATCCAGAAACAAGAACACAAACCAGTGGTCACCGTTCATGTGGATCATCTTAAACCCTATGAGGGTACGTCTGCACCAATAGACTGGACCATCCAGACTGCAGGTACTTCTACCAGTGACCTTTCCTTACAGGAGGAGTTAAATGACAGTATTTCAAGTATGGGGGAAGAAGAAAGAGAATCTCCAGTTCCTGTTACCAGGACAAGGACTGGGAGGGTAGTTAGACCCCGTTGTAGATATTCGCCCTGAATGAATGAAAATGGAAGCCTAAGCTAGACCAAGAAGTTTAGTTCTATTTTATTCATTTTTTCGAAATGTTATTCAATTTCGTTCTTTTATTCAGCGAAATATTTAGCGATCTACATTACATTAAGACATGGAAATCCATGCAGATGAGAGAGAGTTAGCTGAATTCCTAGAACAGGAGGTACATCTGTCCAGGAATGTTCTGCCACGTCGCTCAGCCCTGGAGACATCCCTCACCCCTTTCAGAAGATCGTGTCGCTGCCAGGGACACGTCCAAGTCGTGAGGAGCAGGAGGAGGAGGACCAGGAGACCCTCAGATCTCTGCCTCCTGGATATTGGGACTTGTTATATCCTTGGATGTAACTTCCCAACTCTTCGCAACTCTTTTCGCATTTTTCGCATTTCTTGTTGTTATATTTTGTTGTGTCATCAAATGATTTGTGTTTGTTAATAATTTGCCATTTTTCCTTCTTTTTTTCAGGGGATAAAGTAATTTCGGGGAAATAACTATTTAAGGGGGGAGTAATGTAGGAAACTGGGTTAAATTATAGCGTAAGCATGGGGGCAGGGGCTTCATAACAGGATATTCAAACTATACGTACCCCATGTAGAATAACTGTCTACCAGATAGTCTTGTAGCACATTGTTTCACTTGCTCTACTACGGGACAACTTCTTGACCGGGGTTACCGTTCATCGTAGCGCTAGATACATTGGGTAGGCCACGTGGTTGGTGCTAAATATGTTGGGTAGGCTTTGATTGGCGGAGGTCGTTCTAGAGCACTATATAAGTGACCTGTCTCTCTGGATTCAGTGTCTAGCTTTCGGTCATCCGAGCATCAGGTAATATCTCTGTCCCGAGGTCCTGTTTCAGGATCATTCCCTCCCCGTTTGCATAGTGGAATGTTAGGTTTCATGTAGGGGGATGCTAAGTTCTGTATATTCGTGTTGGGTCGGGTTGGGGGAAAAGTAGAAGTAGGAAACGGAATAGGTAATAAGCTTTAGACTTTGGGTAATGTCCAGTTAGACGGGGTTGGTTTGGGGTGGCTTTTCAGAAGAAGTTTCTCTATGGATTGTTGAGATGGGGAAGTTAGGTTCTTGTTAAACTAGTGTAAGGTCGGGTTGGGGGAGAATTAGGAGTAGGAAACGGAATAGGAATTAGGTTATAGACTTTGGGTAATGTCCAGTTAGACGGGGTTGGTTTCGGGAGGTTCTCTTTTGAAGAGGTTATTGGGGTTTGGGTTTGTTTTTTTTCTCACAAAGCTGTTTTTTTTCATAATGTGAGAGAGAAGTGTAGTTTACAGACTGTTAAGTTTTGTTGTCTTTTGTAATAAATTATTATCAGTGTTATCTTGTGTCTGTTATTTCCCAATAGGCTTTATGCCCGATTTACGAACTGGTCACTGAGTTTTGAGTAGAGAACAGATTAACCCGAACGCACCCCTATAAAAATAAAAGTACACAACGCAAAGTCCAAACGAGGTTGATTAAACATCATGTTCCTACACACTATGTAACTTAACTCAGCTGTCACTGGCCGTGATTGTCTACTGAGAACCACGCCTGTTACAGCTGAATGTGGCGTTAATCGCTCAACACATAATGTATGTATGACAGCGCCTTGTTTGCATCCATACAAAAGAATACAAACGGCTGTGGGTTGTGAGGCCGATACATTTATTCTGGATCTACGTGTTAAAAAGCCTGAAAGAACATAAGGAACTATATTAAATGGCATCACATAAAATATGTACATACTCGAATCCCTCGTTAAGCCTATTAAATACACCTAGTTAAATACATCTGAACTATGTCACAAGTTATAATGTTACATAATATTAATACAAATATACAATGATCATACAGACATACTGTAGGTACCTTTAGGAAATTCTAATAGTAAATACACTTCTGGTATACGTATAGGGTTTTTTCTGGTTAGGTGTTACATACCAGGTTGGTTGTAATCAAGCTGTTTAGGGAGGATATTCTCCGGAATGAACACAGATCTGCATAACAAATAAATATGTATGAAGAGAACAATATATATATACAAGTGATATGATATAAAATAAGATACAATTGCATTCGCCACACTAATCAAACATGGAATCATATATAATATTTATATATATATATGTGTGTGTTTATCAATCACACATACCAAACATACAGGCATGCATTCATACTGACTAGTCATTATCTAGTTGCCATATATTTAGTTGATATGTTTAGAATTGCGTTCAATACATAAACAATACATAAACTCACAATAACACAGTGATCTGATAGTTCATCTTCAACTATATACATTTATAAGATATATATTATATTTCAAGTAAACCAAGTCTGACTTACACAATAAATTATATTTCCTATTGTAGTAAACAAGAAACCATCCATATATATATATACAACATTTTATACAATATGAACCTACCTAAAATCCTTATATAGATCCCCTGGTTGTAAAGGTAACCTTCCTTACGAAGTACAGGACAGCATGTGAGTTTAAAATCTTTACATTGTAGTTTAAGCTATTGCCAGCTTGGCCTATCAGTGAAACAATAGAACTGACTGAAAGCTAAGGGAAGGAGTGTTGTAAGCATGCAGTGTGACAATTAGTGGAGGTCAGACTGAGAGTTACTAGGCTTACTATGCAGAGCTATGGCATGAGAATAAAATGAAGTATAAAACATAACTAAGATTTCATCATTCTACCATATAAAACATATCTAATATTCTTACAGATGTTAGAATAAGTATTTAAATGGAAACAATGCCATCTACCTTAATACTTAATATAATCTTCCAAACTTTAATTAAAACTATGTACATATATATATATATTTGAGTCTGCCACATATGTATTTCGGCTCAAAGGTTTGATCATGGTAGAAACAGGCTTTTATACAGACCTCGAAAAGTAATACAGTAGAGATGGACAGGACCTTTCCAAATCTGAAGCATCAGTGATCTCTGCTGTAACCTGTAATATATTCCCGATCCATGGATTACAAGTACATTGTTAGTTCTTTGTAAATGCCGTCGTCTGGTTATCGAATCCCCTATGTTTTCATACTATATCTGTATTATTCAGACAAATGTTTAAATCATAACCAGACCAATCCCCATCCTACATAGCCCCAAACAATCAAAGCAAAACCATGTGACATGAACTTTTGTTTGTTTTAATTGTTTTGAGTATGTCAACTGTCGAGTGTCCGTTTCCATAGCAGTCTTAAATCGTTGAATGTTTCCTGTTAAAGCTTGCTTTAGAGATCTGTCTGATGGTAAATTGATGCCTTTTGAAAATTTGGGATCTTGTAAAATCACATCAGGAATGTCCAAGTTGTGTAGCAGTTGTGTGCATGAAATGCATGGATCTCAACTATGACACATGCAGTATAAAACAGTAGATGTAGATACAGAAGGAAAACATATACAGACCACAGCATGAACAACACTAAAACGCTTTTCTTTCAACAAGTATATGTATTCAGAATTCACAATATACACAAATTCAAATTCAAATGTCTGCCTAACACGGTTAAACATACACTTCAGTCATACTGCTTTGGGAGAAGAATCTCTTTCAATGGCTAAGATCAACATTTGCCTGACAGTGAACCCTTCATCACCTGGCATACATCTGGGAAGTTCATACTCGTCATATTTTATCATAACGAAGCTGTCCAAGAATATAAACTAACACTGTAGCGTCGTTAACTTGCCTGATCTTGTCTTGAAATACAACCAATTAGGCATGACTGGGTGTTTCTCATGAAGTATATTAATGACGAAATTGGGTGTCACAACTTTGTTGTGTTCCTTTTGCTTATCCTTATCCATTCTTATGATGTCCCCTTTGGTATGTGACTGGCGCCCTGACGCTCATGCAATACATTTCTAGTAAAAATAACGACTGGACCGTAAGACAAATATGCTCTTAAAGCAACCCAAAATGAGGAAAATATCTCACGGAGGTTTGCTGCTATTGACACAAAATGAATAGAAAATAGGAATTGGACATGACTGCATACATCGGGGGGTGATTTGTGCGGGTAAAATAAAATACAACCCAAAATTACCGTAAAAGACAAAAGGTGTGACGGGAAAACCCAACAACATGTAATGAACGTGCAACATACGTTTTCTTTGTTTCTCACCGTGAAGCCCATTTCTGGTGTCCTCCGTCGTGATATTGCTGGAAGATTGCCAAAAGCGGCGTAAAACCATACTCAGTCAGTCAGTCAGTCTATGGATTGATGGTGCCAGTAGTTCTGGGCACTCCTGGGGTCATACAAGGCATTTAGAACAGATGACCTTCACCTTGACATTCGATTGTTTCATTGTGGGTAATAATTCCGATCTCACCAACACTTTTTTTTAATATTCATATCAGACATCACACTCAATAATGAAGAAATATCTAAAACGTATGTTCAGATCCACTTCAAAACAAGTTCGAAGAACTGTTGCCAGGCTCTTTTTTCTTCCAGCTCTTCCAGAACAAACACATTATCTCCATCCAGAAGCTGAGTGAGTAATGGTGGCAGAGGTTGATGCAAGATAGTGTCAGAATATAGAAGTATTAGTCTTTTTGGCATGTTATTGTTGCATGCATAGACCCCAGATGAGAGTGTAAAGGAACACATCTCGTCCTGAAGAAAGGTTTCGGTTACATATAGGACAGTCTTCCAGCTGTTGTGAATACAATTGATAATTTCTTCAGCTGCACAAACGCCCACATCGAAGTCCCTGTCTGGAATACAAAGTCGCAGACCTCTCTCTACCTCCACCTTCTGTAGAAACGTGGTACACACCCACTGATAATCATCATGTTGAGAATAATAAATAAATATGTCATACTTAAAATCTTGTCTTCGTGGTACAAAATGATCAAACCCTATCAACCTCAATATCCAGTATTTTAAAGAGATGGTGTTTTTTAACACCAAATGACAAACGATAAGACCAGAAATCAGTACACACATCAGACAAACTGAAAAGGCGAGCCAAAATCTACCATAGCAAGATCTCCAGTGTCTCCTAAAGGAACTGGTAATATTTGAAAGTTTAATGAGCTGACCCTCAGTGTTGATACAGCTGTATGAATCGAAGTGTCGAAACTGGACATCTGTGTCAATTATCCATGTCAGAAAGTCTAGGGTTCCACATCCACAAGACAGGATGTTCCCATGGAGGTCAAGTGAAATGGGTTGGGAAACAAGAACCCTTTGATCTAACATTGTTCTGGTGTTGACGCTCAGAAAACTGATAGAATTAAAAGAAATATCAATATGAGAGATGCTCAACATTCCAGACAATTTAATAGGAACGTCCTCAAACATATTATTGCTTAAGTTCAAATATTTTAAGGTCTTTAGATTTCCGAATATGTGAGCATACATTCTATGTAGAATGTTATGGGATACATCTAAAAGGTGGACGTTTTTGAGAGGACTGAACAATGTTTGTGAACTCATATTAGACATCAAATCAGTATCAAAATGAACATTTTTCAGATACAATGTCATGACGATTGGGAATGACTGAAAAAATGTCAACGGTATTTTCTTAAAGAAATTCCCTGAAAAATCAAGATATTTTACATGCTCCAAGCCAAAGACACGTGAAGTGTTTGTTATTATGGCAGAATAGGAAAGGTCCAAATACCACAAGTTATTACCTCCCAGAAAGCACATGTTAGTTCCCTCTAATGATCTTCCATGTGCTCCTGAACCACTTAATAAAAGTTTTTCCAAAGATGGAGGAAGAAAAAGTGTCATGTTTCCAAAAAAGGTTAGTTTTGGTATGTCTTTGGAATGCTGATATTGTCCATCACCAGCATAAAGTACATATGCCTGATTTGACACATCCAGTACAGCTAGGTTAACAAGTTCAGGGAGATGGAACAACAAGCTGGGGTCACCTTTTATAGAATTGTAGCTGATGTCAAGATATTTTATACAACTTTGAAACGGTTCCTGCAATAACACGCCAGTTTCAATGACCACGATGTAATTATTCCTTAGAATCAGTCGCTCAACACACATAGTCTTAAGGTAACGTGTCATCTCAGACGTGAGCACGAGACTTTGGTTCTTCATAACACCTTGAACAGAGACAGGATATGTACGCACAAGTGAAAAGTCTATTTCGGTCATGTTCCTTCCACTGAGTCCTTGTAAGCTTAGGAAAGACTCATACAGGCCAAAGGGAGCAGTGTCTCTTGCAAACAGGAACTTCAGTTTATGAAGAGGAAAAAAGACATTGGCGTCCAGAAAAATAAGAATGCTACATGCTGACAATGACAGATCCCTGACAGGTGCTTCCCTGAAGTTGACAAATGAGTTTTTCCCCAAACGTCTGATAAGGCATTGTGATCCAAAACTGAGACTCTTCAGCCTCCTCATCTGTGCAAAGCCAGGTCCAAACACCGGTTCTCCAGCCCCGTCAATAACCAGTGACTCGAGGTGGTGAAGATCAGCAAATGTAGCATCGGGATATGTCAATGAAGTAAACGGCATCCTCATTCTGCTCACATGGAGTGTTGTCAGAGATGTCAGGTTTTGGAATGTCCCAAGAGGAAGAGAGAAATAAGAAAAGTTCAATTTGTTCCCATCCAAATTTAGCTGCTGAAGGACAGGCAGGCTTTGCAGAGCACCTTCCTCCAGAAACTCTATGTTGTTATCATTCGCGAGCAGTGTATGTAATGAAGGAAGGTTAGGGAGTGATCCTTTCCTGAGGTTTGATAAATTGTTGTTACCCATATTAAGGACTGTTGTGTTTCGTGGAACTCCTTGTGGAACTCGGTTGAAACCACGACGTGAACAGTCCACTGTTGTTTCATTGGCTTCGTGGTGAATGTTACATTTCTCAATGTCGGAATGTTGTGGGTGACACAGTGATGTCATCAGATTCGGAATAACAATCCAAACCAAACTGTAGATCGTGACTGACATCATTCCTGTCAACACAATTGTGGGCAGTAAATATGTATCCTCATCTTTAGATATGTAAAACGTTATTTAAGCCTCTTGGAAACAAAAACATAGTCTTTACATGGGAGAAATTAATAAAATGACGCATACTCTCTTTTCAACATCGTTATGTGGGTTGCTATTTCGTGTAAGCTCGCTGTTGTCTCGAGATTGTGCACGCAATGCATGGAACTGAACGACCATATTAATCAAATATCATTAGCATCTTTACTTTAGCAAATGTCGCCCATTATGTCTCGGATCTTCCATAATGTGGTTAGCAGAAATAGTGTTCGAAATGCCAGAAAAGGGATTATGGAGGACTTTCGAATCTCGAAAACGTTTTCTTTCTCTAAACGTAACGATGACGATTATTTTGCAATATGAAACTGCTGAGAATGATCAAACGACTCGTTCTGTCTGCAATATATATATTTGGTGTTGAAGCCACCATTGTGCAGTCCCTGCCAGGACCAGTGAAGCGCTAGGGCAACAGACCCCGGCACTGGGCTGATACAATGACCAATGACCAAAATGCAATATGTCGTTTGTTAGTTTCTTGGTTGGTTTCTTGTTAAATGCCCCAAAAGGTACAATAAGTTAGCTCATACCACACGTCATCACGCACCTATTGTACCCATGATGCACCAGGGCGTAAAGAATGGCTGCAATGAGGAAGTGAAAAAGCTTTGCCTATAACAGTTAGAATCAACCAGGAAATACAATAATATGGTGGAGTTTAATTTGGCTTTCTGGATTTATGGAGTCTTCTTTATGTCGTAAAAATCTAACATAGAACCAAAGAACTAAACCTAACAACATAATACTTTTCGTGCTCAATTCCCCACATGGGCACAATGTGTGAAGCCCTTTTCTGTTGTCCCTCGCTGTGATGTTACTAAAAACGTAGTCGCTCACTCAATACCTCAACATAGATTAACACATTAATGTTGAATAATCAAATACGCGTTTTAAACAGTGACACTGAATTATCAGATGTAATACAATATTGCAACACATCTTCCGGGGATGTTAGTATAATGGATTTGACATAAACAGATCCAAGTAGCACTTGCGAGAATAAGCTGATATTGCCACATACCTGTTCATTCCAGTCTCAAAATATGCCCCTCAGTGTTTGTTGTGTTACCTTAGACAGCCCCACTCACATGTGTCTGGGATGCGACGCACCGCGTTTATAATAGGGTAGATTACAACAGAGACCATCTGGTCTCTGATTACACTGTATAACTTGCCCAACGAACGTCGTATCCTTACGCTCTGTTGATTCGGGAAGTGATGGAGATAGGGGTATATCAGGTGACTGTGACCACTGACTCACCCCACAAGGATGTTCCTGGATCCAGCTGGTCCCCACGGGATACATGTGTGCCTTCGGTACGAACTGAAGAAAGTAAAGATTTGTTCTGCCGGTACGATATTCAAAAGTGCGAGGCTGCATGTGAAAATTACATGCCAAGTTCCGAGATTTTTGAGAAAGTGAATCTCTTATTGGCTTGAAGTCACCAGTGTTGTGGAATTTGTGTTGAAGTGTTGAGTGCAGGTCATTTGTCACTGTGTCCTTCTCAATCTAAATTTATTTCAGCTCTGAGCCGCTTTTGTACTTAAGCACAATGGACTAGTTTGTCTCTGTTCGTGAGGCATGTATCAGGTTTTCTAAACAATATTAAAATAAGAGAGGATTGTGTCGGTGACATAGGAGCTGTCAGACGGAGTGAGACACCGAGAACTTAACCACCACAAATAAACAGTCTCCAGCGACCCCACCTATAACCCCATTTCTCCGCCCCCTCCCCCTCCCCACCCACCCTACCCAGCATTCCTCCACTACCCATTAACCCCCATACACACAACTGTGTGTATTCAGCCATGGCTACATTAATCTACATTAAAATGGAGAACGAGTCTCCGTGAGTAACGAGGTTTAAAAGAGAGAAACTCTAGACTTGCTTAACTGTTAGCTATAGCAGGAGGAAAGACACAAAAGTATGGTACAGAGAGAGAGACCAGTCGTGATCATGTATCTTTGGAACTCGTGAACGCTATTTTCCTGTTTATTGACTGACACAGCAGCAAAGACAAAGATCACAATCGAACACATGCAAAACCTCTCCAACATCTTTTCACGTTTCACGCTGGTCCAATCTTTATGGGTAGCGACATGTGCATGCTTGGCAAACATGGTAGCTTATATACCATGACGTAGACTCAACTTGAGTCTCTGAAACAAAAATGAATGAAACAATGAAATTCAATCAATGATTTATGTGCTTTTGAGGACGTTGTGTTATATGCGGTCGATCAAATGGATCAGTTTATGAGGCTTTGAGGCCAGACAAAATCTATCGGTGTTCTCAGTATCTGCCACTAGACATGTGTGGGTCAGACTCTGTTATTTGATGAAGTCCTTCACACAGCTGGGTAGGAAAACTGGGTTAAATTATACCGTAAGCATGGGGGCAGGGGCTTCATAACAGGATATTCAAACTATATGTACCACATGTAGAATAACTGTCTACCAGATAGTCTTGTAGCACATTGTTTCACTTGCTCTACTACGGGACAACTTCTTGACCGGGGTTACCGTTCATCGTAGCGCTAGATACATTGGGTAGGCCACGTGGTTGGTGCTAAATATGTTGGGTAGGCTCTGATTGGCGGAGACGTCCGTCATCAGTAGGTGAAATTTGACCCATGTCAGAGGTCGTTCTAGAGCACTATATAAATGACCTGTCTCTCTGGATTCAGTGTCTAGCTTTCGGTCATCCGAGCATCAGGTAATATCTCTGTCCCGAGGTCCTGTTTCAGGATCATTCCCTCCCCGTTTGCAGAGTGGAATGTTAGGTTTCATGTAGGGGGATGCTAAGTTCTGTATATTCGTGTTGGGTCGGGTTGGGGGAGAATTAGGAGTAGGAAACGGAATAGGAATTAGGTTATAGACTTTGGGTAATGTCCAGTTAGACGGGGTTGGTTTCGGGAGGTTGTATTTTTGAAGAGGTTATTGGGGTTTGGGGTTTTTTTTCTCACAAAGCTGTTTTTTTTATAATGTGAGAGAGAAGTGTAGTTTACAGACTGTTAAGTTTTGTTGTCTTTTGTAATAAATTATTATCAGTGTTATCTTGTGTCTGTTATTTCCCAAAAGGCTTCATGCCCGATTTACGAACTGGTCACTGAGTTTTGAGTAGAGAACAGATTAACCCGAACGCACCCCTATAAAAATAAAAGTACACAACGCAAAGTCCAAACAAGGTTGATTAAACATCATGTTCCTACACACTATGTAACTTAACTCAGCTGTCACTGGCCGTGATTGTCTACTGAGAACCACGCCTATTACAGATTTGGTGCCCTGACCCGGATCGGGATGTAATAAAGTTAGGGAAATAAAATAATTTGCACATTTATATAGCAGGATAGTAATTAGTAAACAATGTAACTTAATTGATTTAGTGTAGTTTTTTTTGCATAAGATTAATTTGGGAGGTTATTTGAGTAGTTCGTGGTTATTTTCAGCATGGATCAGTTCGACTTGTTTTCACTATCCAACGCTGGTTTCTCATCCAGTGAGCAGCCTGGTAATTTGAATCAGACGCATGTTATTCCTCCTGTGTCTGTAGCTACACGTCCAATGCAGTTTGTTACGTCCGCACCTAATGTTCTTCCAGTGAATAGAGAGGATGAAGGTTGGGGGGTTGGAGTAGAGATTGGAGTAGCTGACTCACAGAGTGCGACAGCGACTGGTTCAGTCCAACAGCCATTTCCGAGTTTGAATTTTGGTGGGATGGAGGATAGTGCAGCGTTTGATAGTGGAAGAATAGATAGTAGGTCCGTTCGTTTCAATGTAACAAGTCGGCATTTGGGAAACCTTAACCAAGACATGATGGGTATCCCGTCAGCTAGTCTGGGTTTGGACCCAAGGCCACTTATACCACAGCCTTTAGGTTTAGGATCGGCTGGAAATGAGACATATCATAGCGATCCAGCTGGATCTTTGCTTGCTAGTGGGTCATCTCGACTCTCACGAAGGGAAGTTAGACCTGATTGTTTTGATAGGAAATCTTGTGACTGGCAGGATTATGTGGTACACTTTGAACAGGTTGCCAATTGGAATAGGTGGTCTGATAGCGAGAGAGCTCAACAATTGACAATGTGTCTCAGAGGTGATACTCAAAGGTTACTCAGTAGCTTAACTATGGGTCAGCTCAATAGTTATTCTGCCGTTAAGAACGTTCTGACACAAAGGTTTAATCCTAGAGAACGGTGTTTTGCTTACAGGAGTGAGTTTAGAAATCGTAAACAAGGCAGGGATGAATCGGTCACTGATTATGGGTGTCAGCTAAGGAGGTTAGCACATCTGGCATATCCAGATATTCCATACGTGTCCATGGAGGTTCATTTGATCGACCAATTTTTGACTGGGTTGACAATCTTTAACATGAAGAAACATATTGCTTTCTCTCACGCTAGGACTTAAAGACCAAGCTGTAGCATATGGTATTGAGTTTGAGGCAGTGGATGGTAGTCGGGTCGGAAGCCAGATCATGTTGAAAGAATAGCTGTTGTCAATTCTACTTTCCAGTTGGATAGGGAAGAACCGTCTCAGAGTGAAGGTACCCTTACTTTGGCAACTGTAACTCAGCTCATAGATGACAGATTGAATAGACTTAGACCAGTGAAGAGGACTAGACGTTGCTACATATGTCAGGAAACTACACACCTTAAAAACCAATGTCATTTGTTAAGAAAGTTAGATCTAGGACCATCATCCGTTCCCAAGGGACTAGGTCAGGGAAACTAGTTAAGGCTGAAACTGAGGCCGAAGTTTCAGTCACAAATTCTGTGGTTTCTAGGCCATCAATTGTAGGTGAACAGATAGAGACAAGTTTGCCAGTTGTGGATTTACATTCACGTTCAGTGTCTCAACCCTCCTCTGTAGATAATGACAGGTTCAGGGAAAAGTCTTTATTCACACAGTACCCAATGGGAAATGTCTCTACCTTGATGTATGTGTAGGAAGAGGCACTGTACGTAGGCTGGTTGATACTGGTTCACCTGTATCCATCATTGCTCACACTGATGCTTCCAGGGTTGGGTTGATAGATGGGCCCTTGCAGGAGGTCAGTAAGGAGTTTTTTACCGCTAACAACGTACCCATAGAAGTGCATGGATGCTTCCCTTTCGAAATGAGAATTGAGCACTCCATGTTTGAGCATGTATTAGTGGTTGCTGAATTGAATTCTATGTGTAGTATACTTGGCATGGACTTCCTGGAAAGGTATTATGGTGTAGTGGATGTGATGGGAAAGACCCTTACGACTTCTGAAGGAAAATTTTTCTTTGTACAAGCTTAAAACATCTAACTGTGCTAGGATTAGAGTGACTGACAAAGTTGTTATTCCTGAGAATTCTGAGAAGCTGATTAAGTGTAAACTGGATAATCTTCTCCATTCTAGTTCAGGCTTGGTTGAACCCAACACTTACTGGCGGAAAAATGGTCTTTTGTTGCAAGCAGTTTGGTTCAGGCTACCTCTGACGAGATAGTGGTGTCAGTAGTGAACATGAGCGATAAACAGAGTGTAGAGGCTGGTTACAGAGTTTCAAGATGTTTTTGTGGGAAAAAGATGGGCTCTTAGGGCAAACAGATGTAACAACTCACAAGATAGACACGGATGGGGCCAAACCTATCAAGTTGCCAGCTCGTAGGGTTCCTTTGGCTAGGAAGAGGATAGTCGAGCAGGAGGTAGAAAAGATGTTAACTCAGGGTATTATTGAACCAAGTGATAGTCCCTGGTCTGCTCCTATATGTCTGGTCACCAAGAAAGACGGGTCATGTAGATTTTGTATAGATTTCCGCAAGTTGAATTCGGTTAGTATTCGGGATGCATACCCTCTACCCAGGATAGATGAGACACTTGAGACTCTAAGTGGAGCACGGTGGTTTTGTACTCTGGACTTAGCTAGTGGATATTGGCAGGTTAAGATTGACCCTAGAGATAAACACAAAACAGCTTTTTCCACTCATTTAGGCCTGCATCACTTTAACGTTATGCCTTTTGTTCTCACCAATGCCCCCGCTACGTTTGAGAGATTAATGGATCAAGTGTTAGGGAAACTGAAATGGAAAAAATGTCTCTGTTATCTAGATGACGTCATCGTCTTTGGTCCTAGTTTTGAGTCCGCCCTGGATAATCTCCG